AAAAAAAGCACCGAAATGTGCGCTGCTTTTTGGTCTGGTGCCATAATGGTACCGGATACCGGTACCCATCCCTAGTTGTTAGTCTTATTGGAAGACTAGTCTTAAAATGTTACTAATTCCGATGTTATGTTGCTGATTGTTACATTTGTTTTTCCCTAGTTTTATCAGACATCAGAGAACCTATTCAGCCAGCCAAAAAAACAAAGTTTCAACCCTCGGTGACTAAGGTACGTACGACATCACCTGTATCTGCTATTCCCAAACGTTGGAACACTGAGGCCCAGCTTGAAAATCGTCAGCCTCCCACCTTTAATGAGAAAAATAATCAATACAAAATTAGGATTTAGTGCTTAAATCTTTGTTTAGGTTGATTCTCAATAAACAGTTGTCCTTTTGCAAACTGCAGTAAGATATCAGCTCCAGTTCTGCACCTTTGTTTTATTATATATGATGACATTTTAAACTAAGCTTTAACATGTGAACATCAGTATTTATGAGAAATTCAAACAGAATGACAAAATGTAAAAATGTATATTTTATACTTATTTATTATTTGTAAAATAACTTTCACTGCCCACCTACTGTAAGTTCAAGGCCTGCTATGTGCTGATGAAGCATACTAGTAATTCAAAAAAATAAAACACACGAGCTGTGTGGTGGAATCACTTTGGACAGACGCACACACTCGATAAATGTAAAGTTTTTGCACTTAACAGAGAATTTAATGTTTTGGTGTTTTATCCATAAAACTTAAGCAGTTATGACGTTAATGTGATACATAAACAGACTGTGAGAAAATTCTGCAGTGCTCCTTTAGACTTCCTGTGCTGTGGAGCCACACACACTGATGAGAGGAATAGCTGTGGCATGAATGGAGGAAGAGGAAGAAAAAGCCACGTTTACTAATGAGAGGTCACTAGAAACCATATCACAGCCTTGAGCTGCAGATATTTCAAGTTCTGTGTTGTTGTGATGCCATGCGACTCATTTAAATACACATTAAAATGAAAGATTATAAATAGATGACAACTGAATTTTGTCTTTTTAATGAAAAAATTAACAACATGTTTCAAAGAAGCTGGGACGAGAAAACAGAAGACTGAAAAAAGGAAAAAAACATTTTAGCTCTAATGTGATTAATTAGGAACATTTTTATTTAATCACACTGGATATAGGTAAATATAATGACTCCATATTGTAGTGGTTCATACAACATGTGAACAGGTCTCCTGATTGATCCTGGGAGGAGACACGATACCACTGGGAGCATGAAACCTGTTAAATGAAGCGTGTGTATTGTCTTTTGTTTGATGTTTGATTTCACATAGGGTTTAAGATAGCACCTTCTCCTAACTTAGCTTGTTTTGTTTGTTATTTTGGCCTTTGTTCACCCCGGAGCTTCATTTTGCAGTGTAGAAAAATAAACCACCATTCACTAAGAAATTGGTTTTCCCTCTGTGTATGGTTTTGGGGACCAGGGCGGGGCAATCTTTTCAAACGTATGTTGCGTTCCCGTACCCCTAGACTGGGGCGTAACAGTATACTATTCCTGCTGTGACAGAGCCGTGCAAAGAAAGTAGCTTAAACATTTCTGGTAAAATAGAAGATATGAAGAGGTTCATCACGACGAGGAGGACATTTGATTTAAGACTTCTTTTCTTGGTTCATGCAATTAATTATTGATTAAGAGAATATAAAATAATCTATGTAGCAAAGGGACAAGACTGAAAACCAGTGTTAGATTATCACTATCTGAAAGCCCTCAGGCAGCAAGGCTTTAAGAAGAAGTTAAACGACCCCCACACAACAAAGAAATCAGCAACTCTGCCTTCTTTTCTGCGTCTGAGCTCCAAAAGACTAAAGTGGAAAGTGTTGCTCATGCTGCCTTCTGATGGCATGAGAAGCATGAGTGCACCTGTGAAGGCACCATTAATACTAAATGATATGTTCAGGTTTAATAGAAACACATGCTGCCATTTAGGCAACAAAATATTCAGCCTTACATGTTTTAGCAAGACAGTATCAAACTACTTACTTACACATCCCAACAGAACAGAACCACAGAAGAAGAGCCCTGATGCTAAAGTGGCTGGGTGACAGTCCACATGTGTCCCCCACTAACAATTGGCATTTCATGAAATGATGTCAAAAGATGTTGTAATTTAACACTAAAGCAACTGGTGTCGTCCTAAATCTCTGTAGTGTTGTACAAAGAAAGTTGAAATTTTGCCCCATCACAAATAAAAAAGCACGTCGGCATTAAAATAGAGCTGTTAGATAAACTGTCACTATTAACATTAAAATGTGGGTTTTTATTCACAAATCTATTCTTCTAAACGAGGTTGTAGTTCCATACTGGATCAGCAGATGGAAAAAGTGGGCAAATATCCCAGGGGTCCAGTCCTGAGGGGTTGCCAGTGCCCTACATTTGCTTAGAGTGTCTTTGTGTGGGGTTAGTAAATGAGAACGTAGTCGACAGCAGGAGAATCAAATATCAATATTGCCTGTTTTTGCATCGTTCTAAAAACATTTATGTTAAAGTGAATAACTAAAAAGGGGGTTGACGGCTCATTTGTGCCCCGGGGCCTCCTACTGAGACTTTCTGGCGGCAGTCCTATGATAAACAGTGAGACTGCAGTAAAGAAGCCGTTACAAGAAAAGCGAACATGGATTTTCCTTTTTTTTGCCAGAAAAGAAAAGAAACTTGAAGTCTCTCTCATATCTCTTTCCTGTACGTTCACTTCCTTCAACACCAGAGCACAGACTCCTCAGATGAAGAGACGCTGCACATAGACACGGAGGCCAAGCCGGAGGTCAAAAGTCGCAATTCCAAGGTGAAGAAAAAGAGCGGCAGCGCCGCAGGAATTCTGGACCTGCTGCAGGCCAGCAAGCAAGTGGGTGGCATCGACTACGGCACCAACAGGTAGACTAACCTAACCCCGATGTCAATTTTCTGCTGCATTCCCATCAACACCAACAGAACTTGGACCTCTAAACTCATTTGAGTACATGCGCAGCATTAATCTCTAAATGGCTCCCGCTGGGCCCCCTTTTCCTTCAGTAAATGAATTTCAGCTCTTCTTAATGGACCGAGGCACTGACAAACAAATGGCCTACTCGGCGGCGACGTAATTGGATGAAAAAGCTGAATTTTACAGCTTCGCTCAGAGCTGAAAAATCAGCTAGCGGCTGGAGCAACAGTTTACACCGATTCTGTCAGCAGTTTGTGTTAAGTCAGTGTTTGTTTCATCCCGTGTTAATCTATCAAACGCCGCGCGGCTCCAGGCTCTTCCCTTTGCCTTTTGCTGTTTGCGAGCTCTTGATGGTCTATTTCCACCACACTGAAAGCTACAAATGAGCAATGAAAGAAAGAAAGAAAACATTGATGAAATATGTTAATTTCTCACATCGTTGGTGCTTTGAAGAGGGATTGAAGCTTCATTATAGCGGTGTGTGATAGTCGCTTTGTTTCTTGTGGCAGCTCAGCAGGTGATAGCTTAATGGGTGTGTGGATTCATTTAAAGAGGATATTTGTTTTTGACAGTTTTCCTGCCTCTTTGTTCCACTGAGGCACCGTTTGTAATCTAGCTGACACCGAGATCTGGTTCAGAGCCTTCTTCAGTTCTTCCTTTCTTTCTTTGACCTCTGCCAGCGTGTTGACCACCATGTAATGGCTGTGTTGTTGTGTATTTCTTATTGACATACTTACAGTCAGCCACCTGCATCTCCCAGCACACAGGAGGCCATTCAGGGCATGCTGTCCATGGCCAACCTGTCGTCTTCAGAGAGCTTGCAGCAGCCGTGGAGCAACAGCCAGGCCAAAAACAACGGCCAGTCGAAGAACAACTCGCACAGCTCGCAGGCCGGCAAGAAGGCCGGCAGAGGAGGAGGCGGAAACAACAGCAAGCGGTCGACTAAACGTCTCCCAAAGAAACCCAGGAAGAGCAGCAGTATTGAGAGTCTAGATTATGACGACGACCAAGATCACATGGATGCGTGTTTCAAGGACTCGGATTACGGTAAGCGGCAAATGCCAACTTGTTGTTGTTTCCTTATTTTCCTGTCATCGTGGGGTAACGAGTGTCATTTTTCCATGATACTGGTGCTGGTCAAGTTCCAAAGCATTCCCTGTTTTGCTCTATTGTACCCAGGTTGTGTTTTTTTCAGCTACAGTGTACTTTATGAATTTATAAGTCACACCTACCTATTGTCTGTGTGCCTGTGCAGAACCACAGGAAACCAAGAAAATGCTGAAAATGAGACAAAAACACGAACCGAAAAGATAGAGTGTGTTTTTGGATGGCTGTCTTTCTTTTTTTTTTTTTTTTTAACACATTTATTTTGTCATTCAGAGCAGGTTAGGTGCTAGGCTCTGGATTGCCTGCAAATGCATAAAATTACACATTTTTATTGCATTGACTATTAAACATGAGAGATCTTGTTTTTCTTAAACCATGACAGAGCCCCTGCCATGTTTTACAGAAGAATATAGACTATGGATATGGAGTACCAAAAGACTTTTTTAAATTTTTTTTTAAACTTCTATTTAAATTTTTTTTTTTTTCACAAATCATGGTCACAATACATAATGGAAACGTTGCCATTATACACAAAAAAAAAAACAAAACAAAACAAACAAAAACAAAAACAAAAAAAGAAACCCCCCCTCCCTCCCCACCCGAGGCTCATGTAAAGAGAAACAAAACAAAACAAGCAAAAAATGTACGTCACACATCTGGAAAATACGTTTTTATATAGTCAATAAATGGGTTCCAAGTCACAGAGAATTTTTGTTGTGATGGGAGAACTCTGTATCGAAGTTTTTCCAGTGGTAAAAAGAAAAGCACCTCCTTTAACCATTGTATGTATGAAGGAGCCTTATCAGACTTCCAGTGGAATAGAATAAGTCTACGGGCAAGCAATGTAGCAAATGCTCTGGCATTTTCCTGAGATTTACTCGTTTTGTATTGAGATGGCATAACTCCAAAAATGGCAATGCGGAAATCAATCACTAAGTTCTGCGCACTGATATGAGATAATGCTTTAAATATATTTCCCCAGTAATTATAAAGATGGCTGTCTTTCTAAGCTTAGACCATCAGACTGATGAAACTAGGTAAACATTTCATATGCTGGAGTCTTGGGATTGCATTAATCTTAAAAATGTCTCCAAAACAACATGTTTACGTATGCTCCTCCCCCTACACACAGAGTGGAGCAGGAAGCCGTCACTCTAACAGAAAACACCTTTTAACCAAAATATTAAAACAGCTCATCCAAACAACCTCTCACTCAGCGCTACACCCGATTACACCCACCAGCTTTGAAGGGCGTAGGATGAATGACTGTGGAGAGCAGACGTGAAGAGATTTCTCTAATTAGACGTGGGATAACTTTAATTATGGAAAAACGTTCTTGTAATCAGGATCAGGAATGGGAATGTATCAGGATGTTGTCTGTTAGCTTCAAAGAGATGGTTTGTGTACTTAATCTGACAAAATGTAAACAAACACACGCTTTAAAAACGAGCTTCATGGAGGTTTGTACTGGAACTGTTCTGTTGTTCACCTTCATATTAATGCAAAATAATTGTCTTTAAGCATTACATGAAAAGTAGCTCTACACAAGAGACCGAGAATTGCTTTGAACTGAATAACTGTTTGGCTAAGAGGGAAAAGAGATATTCAGACATAATCCTACTTTAGTTTTGATACAAAGGATTTAGATTTAGAAGTAACTAAAAGTAACTAAAGTAAAGGCTGTGTTCACAGACAACCAAAAGCCTACCAATATTCAAAGCAGAGCAGCGGACACCTTACCATCACATCAGTCCTTTAATCCGACCTAAAACACCACGTTTAATTGGAAATAAATTGTTGTTTTTGATTGTTTATAAATATATAGTGCTGCCCTTCAGCCTCCTAGTAGACATACCTGTGTTATAAATGTGAAACTCCTCCGATTTTCAGAAAAGTTGACCTCTGACCTTGAAGTCAAGGTCACTGAGATTTAAGCTTCACAGAGATTTTCAGTAGATGCAACCATGGTATTGATTTGAAAAATCGACACAATCACAAACTTGGATGTCCAACCTGTGCAGTTATGTCAGTGAGAGAATCAGAGCTCCCCGAGAGCCTGAAGATTACAGATATCAGCACTGATTTCTTCACATTATCCGACTCTTCTGATGACACACGATGACATCGTCAAAGGCTTTACATTCAGGAACATTTTTCTGAAATTGTTCAGCTATTTGAAGATGCATTTTTTTGCCCTTTTTACTATTAAGGAGCTCTGCCTCTACAAGGTGCTCTTTGTTGGACCCAATTTGCCAATTTTAGGACGTGTGCGTGGCATCAAAACCAGTTGAACAGTTTTAAGAGTGCAATCCTTAATCATATTGAAACATATTTTGTAGGATTTGTTGGAAAAACTAAAAATGAAAAGACTCCCTCACTGAGATTTCTCACGTTTTGCTGTTTCTAAATGCATAAATCTAAAACACAGTAGTTGCAATGTCTTTTTATATTTTAAAGGACCTTAAAACACATTTTTGTTACATTATTATTTTTTATATTTTTTTTTAAATTGCAGTACTTTTAGTGGTTCACTATTATTTTATTGCACTTTTTTGTTTCGTTTTGTTTTTTACATCAACAAAGTTGAATGCGCAGAAGAGCTGATTTATTCCAAAACTAAAAACAGTGCAGATGATCTGAGCTCTGTGAGTTCAGTCTGGTGTCATTTTTCAAGCACACGAATGAGAAAATAATATATCTGCCATGTCTGATCCTCACTACTGCTAACAGGTGCTTTAAAAACACATTGGCCCCTCATGTATCTGCTTGTGCAGCTTAATTTCTCAATTTGGCTGGAACCCTTCATTACGTGTACGTGACACGGGCTTATGTTTACTTTTCGTGCGTCTCTTTGGTTTTTTTGCTCCAGTTTATCTTTTTATCCTGCAAAATGCTTTCCCTGTGAAGCCCATCCAAACCTCCTAGCTTGTTAATAAGCGATTAACACGCGTTCCAAACTGTTATTTTACAAGCTTTTTGAACTTCTAATTGGTCCAATTAGTTGTTCTTAGCACGAACATTCTCGCTCTGAAATCCCGAAGCTTCTCCCGCAGACTGGCTCTCTGCTCTGCTTTTATAAACAGGTCATTTTTTATCTTGATCATCCAATTATCAGATATTAAAAGGTCTAGATTGGAATGGCTGCACTGTGAACCGACAGTCAACAGCTGCTTTGCAGCTGCACCGCACGCTGCCACCTCCTCCGTTTTACAGAAAACTGAAGTAATTGCAGCTTTTCTTTGCAGCTTCTCAGCAATGAGCTAACATGCATGACATGTGAGTAATCTGTTCCACGTTTCGATTTTAGTTTACCCGTCGCTGGAGTCCGAAGAGGATAATCCTGTGTTCAAATCGAGATCAAAGAAACGGAAAAGCAGCGACGACACTCCGTACAGCCCCACAGGTGAACACTGGCATTGTTTAAGAAGCATCTTGGCTTCAGAGTTTTATGAAAGAAATATGTTCTAAACCCCAATATGCATGTCCTGGCAGCCCGCGTAGGACCATCAGTTCCCCGACACGAGCGGCCAGCCAGAGATGGAGCCCGGGTGGCGTCCATAGAAACAGGCCTGGCTGCGGCTGCAGCGAAGCTTTCCCACCAGGTAAGTTACTTACACTCTTACACAACAGCAGATATTTCTGATCATTTTGCTCAAACAAAAAACGATGTGTCAAAAGGAGGAACAACAAAAAACCAAGAAGAAGAAGAAAAGCACCAAAAAGAAGGCGCTAGTAATAGAGGAGCCCCCGAAAATCTCTCAGGACAGTAGCTCGCCGGAGCACAATCTGGACTCCCAGGACGGCAGCCTGACAGACCACGAGTTCAACACTGGAACGGTCAAGTCACCGGGAGGGCCGCAGCCCATGGCGCCGGGGGTCTTCCTCAGCCAGAGACGGCTGTCCATGTCCTCCCCCAACAGCACCAACTCCACAAGCACCAACAGCAGCGGCATGGCGAAGGGTGACCGTGTGGGCTCAGCAGACGCCAAAGGTGAGCACGTGTAGAGTGTGGAGTGTGCAGAAGGAAATACACAACGGATGGTCATCCTCAGAGCAACCGTCACTGGTTGTTGGTCACGCAGAAACAAGACCTCACAGAGATGACTTGTAAATATATCTCCCTTTAAACCATTGCAGGGTTTATTATGAGCGATTTAACGCCGATGTAACGGTGTGTTTCCGAGAGAGGGGAAAAGGAAAAGCATAATAGGTCCCCTTTAAGCACAGGCACGGCGATTTGTTCATTAGAAAATTTCAAATGCTGCGTGTAAAGTCTTTAAAGCTTTAGTAATCTGTGGGATTAAGATTTCACTTCCCGTGAATAAATTTGAATCACTTCTTTACGCAGAGATTCTTGTAGCAGCTTTTCAGTAATGGAGCAGTAATGAATGAATATCTAATGGCTTTTAAATTGAGCAGTTTTTCAGGGAAATGAATGTTTTCCATCGTTCTTTCCAGGATTTTTTTTTTTTAGAATTTCTAAAGCTTCATCCGGACTAGTAATCAATAATAATTAGCAAATAACAGTTTGGTTTGGCGGCCGCTGCTCTTCGAGCATGCAAAGTGCAACGCTATTGTAATGAGAGACAGTTGTGTGAACTGTTGTGAACTGCCAATGATGGATACTTAGTGGGAGTGACTCCCTCCTCCAGGAAATGCGTCTCACTTAAAGGTTTTCTAGGGATCCTTTTAGGTTGCTTCTCGTTAATGCATTGCTGTTTAATTTACATTTGCATTTCCCGCCAGTATTGAAATGACATTTAGACATGTTATTTAACAGAATTTTAAACGATCTGTCTTGTTCCCCTCTGCTGGCCACAACACAACATGCTACAACTTGGCATTAACTTTTAAAAGTGCCCATTTTGTCAGAAATAGCAGCACTGGCATTAACTAAAATTAGCCAGAAGAAAGATGCCAAAGCACAAACAGTCCCTCTGCTGCAGATCCCACCTGTTGTTTGCTGTAGTTATCCCCTCGTGGCCAAAGTCCCATTCAGCCAAGTTTGGCTTGATTAGACAAACACTTAACGCAGCAGCGAGCTGCATGAGTTTGCATGCTGCCTAATGTTACTAGCAAAGTAGTAATATTACAAATGCAAATGCTTATATAGCACTTTTCTACCTGAGCGCTCAGTAAAACTAGTCTCATTCATGCAGGCACTGTGTGCTATGCTTTGTGTCTAACAAGCATCAGAGAACAGCGCGGGGTCAGTATCTTGTCAAGTATAGTTGGTGTGTAGACTGCAGCACCCTGAGGTAAAGTCAATGATGACCTCTTTACCTCCTGAGCTACAGCCACTCCTGTGTTTAACGGTTATAATGTTTAATATAAACATTGGCCCAATATAAACCCAATTTTTCACAAGTATGATCAATCAATCAATAATGCAAACATGACATTAGTGATCGACTCCATTACTAACCCACATGTGGTCTTTTGCTGCTGTAACCATCTGTTTCAAGGTTTGACATGGCGTGGGTTCAGAGATGGTTATTTGAGTTGCTGCTGCTGTCCTGTCCGCTCAGAGCAGTCTGGCCATTCTGACCTCTGCCCTTAACGAGGCATTATTATCAGTCTAATTGTAGGGTCTTTACCGTCAAATATAAAGCGTCTGGAAGCGATTGTGGTTGTGATCTGGCGCTATTTAAATAAGATTGAACTGAATTGCATTTTCACCCAGAGAACTGCCACCAACTGGTTTCTCTGTTTTGAGCCCTTCTGTGTTAGTGATGGTTGCATGCTTGTGAGGGGAAATCCCAGTAGGTCAGCAGTTTCTCAGACCAGTCCATTCAGAGGCACTTAAATCACCTTTCCTTCCCCTTTCTATTTGGACTGAACTTCAAAAGGTCATGTGGTGACATGTGGCTGTGTAATTAGATATTTGTCTTTCGTAGCTGGACCAGACATTCCTAACAAAGTATGCGGTGAGCGTAAGTCTTTCCACTGTCTGTTGGACACAAGCAAAAGTCTGGTACAACATGTTCAGACACTGTTGATGAAAAATCACTTTCTTCCTGTTAAAAGGGAGTTTTTCCTTCCCACTGTCGCCAAAGTGCTGCTCATAGGGGCTCATATGATTGTTGTATGTATTATTGTAGGGTCTACCTTACAATATAAAGCGCCTGAGGTGCTGTTGTTGTGATTTGGCGCTGTAGAAATAAAACAAAAGTTGGGTCTGAGTATGTTAAACATGTTTTTGCTATTAGGCCAATGAACATGTTCCAGCATAAAGGCCGCTAAGCTAGCAAATATTGGTGCGAACATGTCAGGATGCATCACCTAAATGTTGTAAGCTGGCTCGGCGTCTTACCTCTTGTCTTTTCTTGTCTTTCCTGCAGCTAAGCGGCTAAAGAAAGGCATGGCAACAGCCAAACAGAGACTTGGAAAGATTTTAAAGATCCATCGAAATGGAAAGCTCCTTCTGTAGCATGCAGCGGACTGTCGTAGGACTGGGAATTCACGAGCTGGGTCCCATCCCAACCTCACCCCCTCCGTTCACCGATTAAAGCCAACGACGTGGAAAAGAGATAAAAGACTGAAACGAGATGGGAGAAGAAGAAAATCATGCATTTTTGAATTTCTAAGAAGAACATCAGTCAAATAGGTTTTTGCCTCTACTTATACTTTATAACTTTCAGATATTAAAAGTGTACAGAACCTACTATAAATATTTTTTAAGAGAACGTGTCTCATTTTACTACAGCTGTGAGTTTATCAGGGGTTGCTAAA